GTGTCTGCCCTACATCGACAACAACGTGTACATCACCCGCCACTTCTCGTTCATGTGCGGCGAGGGCACCATGTTCGACCAGGAACGTCTCGTGTGCGACTACCCCGAGTTTGCCCTTCCCTGCTCCGAGGCTGTTAACTTCATCAGGTCCAATGAGTACTTCGGCCGCTCCGACGTCAATTTCCTGGAGAAGTAAAGCCTGGGATGAGGACGCAACAGTCGCTCTTCGAGTTTTCCTGCAAGACATCAAATATTTCCAATGAATAAAGCAACACCTTTCTGTTAAAAAAAAGTCAAATATAATAAAAATCACTCTTTTAACTTGTATTTTACTTTTAACCATTATGACAAAATTGTCTGATCTATATTGAGTCCTGGGACTCAATATTAGTCGAATGTAATATAACTGACTTTCTGTTATGTTACTGATAAGCCAACTTGGGACATCAGTAAGATTAATAAATATAAATTTTAATCAGCAAAGTATATTATGTACACGATCCGTGATCTAAAACAAGTTTACAACCAAGTATATTCTAGTGATACACTTTCTTAGTATATTATTATATAATACAATAAAGAGGAGCACATTTCATGGAATGAAAACAAAATATAATTTTATTTTATTTTATATGCATCTGAACATTGAACGTTTTGCTTTACTAGTATACCTCCTGTGTGACATTTAAGTAAACTAAGCAGATCTTCAGGCGAGTCTCCCCCAAACGCACCACCAGTGACACGTCCAGAAATGAAACTCTGACGTGCTGCCGGAGTATTGTATAATCAAGTCTAATTGACAGTCATTTACGAGACTCCTTGGGGGCAATGGATACAATAAGACCACACTTCAAAGATGATTATCCATCAGTCATCGACTAAAGTAACTGCGTGTGTGTTCAGTATACGTATGAGTGTACTCATGCTTATGGCGTGTCCTTTGCTTTTGTTTTTTGTACTCAAGTATAAACGCATGCATGCATGTATTAATGCCAGACAGACTACGTGCGTATCTTCTAACATTCAAATATTCAGTAAGAATATTCAATGCCTGCTGTATGTTGTACTATATTACATATTTGATTTAAACACTGATTATCTGTAACAGATTCTGATTTTTTTTCCAATACCATCCATATCGGCTTGTTTTGTTTAAAAGAATTCTGCACGTCTCTATTCTATGTGACTCGGGGTCATCGTTCTCTGGAGACCTCGCCAACAGCTATACATTTTAAGAGGCATATCTATAATGCCTGAGATATATAACCTGTGCGAATTATTGAGTTTGTCAATTCAATAATCTATAATGTATCTTTCTTATGAGATGGAGTGATAATTAAGTAGTCAGGTAATCGAACTTCACTCTTTTATTTAAAAAGTGAATTGGTAAAATGAATAATAAAAGGGGAAATAAGAAAATACATTCACAATTTTGACAGTATTATACTAATACGTTAAAAACAGATAATTGCTATCCTCATTGTAATAACATTATACTTACATAAATCCTAAAAAAATAATTACCCATTCCCACCTTTTTATAACTTTTACGCCTTCATGACGCCATTATTATTATTATTATTATTATTATTATTTTAATTCGCACTTGCTAACCATCAAATAAGTGCATTTAACTCGACCAGAAAAAATATATCGGAACATTTCCTAAATTCTTAATGAGACTAAATGTAATAAGAATAGAAATAAAAAACTCAAACAACAAAAAGGCCAATCTCTGACAGTTTACAAGTTCCTCCGACACAGATCATGGAATTGCCACGCTGGCAACTCCATAGAATTTCAAGGTCACGTAGAGGAAACTTAAAAGCTTTTGGGTCTTCACTCTCTGATTTATTGTATTCGGGAAGGAGGGGGCGGAGCCAAGGGCAAGAGGGATATATATTGGGGCGACTTCAAGCAGTGTACACATATCCTCTCCTCAGGACTTGCTGACAACATGAAGGTTCTTGCTCTCGGTGAGTTTGCGAGGTTGAAAAAAAGACAAGTCATAGCCGTTTTTAAAGTCTATTGCTATTTTTTTTATTTTACTTTTTAAAATTTTCTGTAAGATGAAAGAAGATATCCTGAAGTGTTCATATTCTTAATTAAATCAATCGAGTAATTTTGCATGAATGATTACACAAGCAGGTTTAGCCAAATATCCAAGACCGACATTAAAATCACTGTTACTGATTTGTTTACATGAAGCAGACATGGTAATGCATGACCCCATTTGATACCCTTTATTATAAAATTCATTTGATTATCATTATTCGTACAGGGTATATTTAGAACACTTTTCACGAATGCCGAATATTTCCTCACTACAGTCGCTGTGTTGGTGGGCGTGGCCGCCGCCCTTCCCGGCCTCCGTCTGCGTCGCGACTCGTCTCCTCTGCGCTTCGAGCTGCCCTCCAACGCCTCGCTGGTTCTGGGTGGAATCACCACCGGCTTCGACTGCGCCGACCTCCCCTACGGTTACTACGCCGACACCAGCAACGACTGCGCCCTGTTCCACGTGTGTCTGCCCTACATCGACAACAACGTGTACATCACCCGCCACTTCTCGTTCATGTGCGGCGAGGGCACCATGTTCGACCAGGAACGTCTCGTGTGCGCTTTCCCTGAGGAAGCCCTTCCCTGCTCCGAGGCCGCTGCCTTCAGGAGGTCCAACGAGTACTTCGGCCGCTCCGAAGTCAACTTCCTGGAGTAGAGCCTCGGATGAGGACACAGGGTCGCTCCTCAACCTTTCATCCCAAACACCGCTTACCATTATCAATGAGCATCTCATCTATTTTTCTATGAAAATGAGAATTTTCTAATCTATTAAAAAGCACTTTCCCATTCAGTAATTTTCTTCCATACCCCGGAATTTTGGCGCAAATGACATTATACTGTAGTGGAAAAAAAAATGATAAGAAACTCCAAAAGTCACAGGGGCAAATATATATTTTTTCCTACAAAAAATAAGATCTTCAGTATTTCTCAGTAACTATTTTTTTCCCTCAGTGATTTAATCAATTTCAAAATTATATTTCTTTATCAGTCCAGTAATTTAGTCATTAACCATATATTCCTCGGAAAAGAAAGTTGAGTTACCTATAGAATGACTATTTCTACTCTACGACTCTCACTTTGTTAGCAATTTCTGTACATACCTTGTTTTAGACATCAGCACTTTGGAGAAGAGAGGCACGAATCTGGGAATCATAGTTTGATTTTCATGTATGGAAAAGCTCTTAATCAGATAATGATGAATACATTCAAATTAGAATCTGTTTATTGAAGGTCTGTTATATTAATTCTTTTTGATTCTAAGAAAAGCATGTGACGATGCTACTTTTAAAGATATGATCATTGAAAAGTAGAGAGAACAAACACGAATGATAATGTTTTTAAGCATAATCAAGACAGGGAGCGTTTCCGCAGCCATATCAGTGCCATGGAGCTGCAGAGTGTAAATGCGGAACGCCCACACAAGCACACAACGGTTGCCTCTGTTTTCTGTAGCAGATGACATCTTTATTCTTATCCTGACCTGTCTCCCATGAAACCTGTTGATGTCGAAATTTAAGGAGTAAAGTTTACAGTCGGCGGTAAGCATCATAAAAGTTTGCATGCATTATCTGTACATAAGGGGATTATATGGCTGTATTTTCTTAAATATTCATAATCTGCATGTGTCGGCGACTGTTCCTAATACAGTGTAACTTACAGTGAATACATTACACATTGGTAGGTTAAATAAACAGATTGATGTCGGTATAAGTTAGGCATACATTAATAACTTCAGTAAGAGACGTACACATCTGCTCTGGTAATGGGATCGAGGGCGAAGGGGCAGGGGTAAAAGTTACCCGTTTTATCTCTAGGTTTTCTGCTTGAGGTGGGCGTTGTATTTTTTTCTGAATGGACTTAAGAATAAGACCATACGTTCATAGACGTCTATGTCTATATATATATATATATATATATATATATATATATATATATATATATATATATTTATACTTGTTACATGACAGTTTACTTCATGGCAACTACACAACTTTGTCCTTGCATACGTATCGAAGACGTCAACTTCCTGAGAAGAGCCTCGGATGAGGACACAGGGTCACTCCTCAACCTTTCATCCCAAACACCGCTTATCATTATCAATGAGCATCTAATCTATTTTCTATGAAAATGAAAATGAAAGAAATCAAGTGAAATTTACATAAACTACCACTGCATCATTTGCCGTTGTGGCGTAGTTTTTCACGTCGTGCCGAATAATTCATAAAATATAAACCTACTTTTTCATAAGGCTGGAGATGTTTTTACTATGTGCGCATATTTTTAAATACATGTGTGTGGTATATGATTAGTGAGTGCTGACTTTCACTAAATGACATTATTAACTCATTATGAATTGTTTGATGTATCTGCACGAATACCAAGGATCTCAGTCATTTTTACTCATCTTTTAGAATGTCATAATGTGACAAATAGGTTAGGAAATATAGAGCCTGGTTTTTATTTTCGTATAGTCACGTGGTTTTAGTTGTGTTACATCGATTCATGAAGTTATTAAACAGTACAAGAAATATATAAACTTATATTACTTTTATAAAGTAAACTAATGAAATACCCGACTCCATTATTTTGATGACAGCAAAGTCATGGGATTTATTTTTCACTTTACAGAATATAACTATACATAGCCTTCTAAATTCTTTTCTTGCATACAATAAGGAATTCAAAGTAGTTCCTAATAGCCTTTAAATACTTGCTGCATTATTAATAGATTCTGCCGACTGACTTTAGAATGTCACTTTATGTTACCTAAAGGTTAAGGTGAACTATAGCACTCGCATTTCTTCAGCATTTCAAGGTCACTTTCCCTGCGTAAGGACGTCTAAAAGAATCCTGAGGGATGGAGGGGGCGTGGCCAAGGGTAGTAGGACTATATATTGGAGCTCTTCCAGGCAGCATAAACATCTTTCGTAGGATTCACAAACATGAAGGTTCTTGCTCTCGGTGGGTATAATTGTGCAGTTTCCATTTCCAAATCTAAGGCTATGGGAACTGTCGTCCTTTTGTTCATTCGTAGTTAAAAGTAATTCCCACACAAAAAGTGCCTTTTATGTTTGCAATGATATCGGTTAATGCTTTTGATTCAATGCCAGAATACACCTTCACTGTGATATTCTTTCCATCATATGCCAAATGGTGCATAATTTGTGCTAATAAATATTTCCTTCAAGCAGTCGCTGTGTTGGTGGGCGTGGCCGCCGCCCTTCCCGGCCTCCGTCTGCGTCGCGACTCATCTCCTCTGCGCTTCGAGCTGCCCTCCAACGCCTCGCTGGTTCTGGGTGGAATCACCACCGGCTTCGACTGCGCCGACCTCCCCTACGGTTACTACGCCGACACCAGCAACGGCTGCGCCCTGTTCCACGTGTGTCTGCCCTACATCGACAACAACGTGTACATCACCCGCCACTTCTCGTTCATGTGCGGCGAGGGCACCATGTTCGACCAGGAACGTCTCGTGTGCGCTTTCCCCGAGGAAGCCCTTCCCTGCTCCGAGGCCGCTGCCTTCAGGAGGTCCAACGAGTACTTCGGCCGCTCCGAAGTCAACTTCCTGGAGTAGAGCCTCGGATGAGGACACAGGGTCACTCCTCAAACTTTCATCCCAAACACCGCTTATCACTATCAATGAGCATCTCATCTATTTTTCTATGAAAATGAGAATTTTCTAATCTATTAAAAAGCACTTTCCCATTCAGTAATTTTCTTCCATACCCCGGAATTTTGGCGTAAATGACATTATACTGTATTGGGAAAAAAATTACGAGAAACTCCAAAAGTCACAGTGGCAAATATATTTTTTTCCTACAAAAAATAAGATCTTCAGTATTCCTCAGTAACCATTTTTTTTCTCTCAGTGATGTAATCAATTTCAAAATTATGTTTCTTTATCAGTCCAGTAATTTAGTCATTAACCATATATTCTTCGGAAAAGAAAGTTGAGTTACCTATAGAATGACTATTTCTACTTTACGGCTCTCACTTTGTTAGCAATTTCTGTACATACCTTGTTTTAGACATCAGCACTTTGGAGAAGAGAGGCACGAATCTGGTAATCATAGTTTGATTTTCATGTATGGAAAAGGAGCTCTTAATCAGATAATGATGAATACATTCAAATTAGAATCTGTTTATTGAAGGTCTGTTATATTAACTCTTTTTGATTCTAAGAAAAGCATGTGACGATGCTACTTTTAAAGATATGATCATTGAAAAGTAGAGAGAACAAACACGAATGATAATGTTTTTAAGCATAATCAAGACAGGGAGCGTTTCCGCAGCCATATCAGTGCCATGGAGCTGCAGAATGTAAATGCGGAACGCCCACACAACAAGCACACAACGGTTGCCTCTGTTTTCTGTAGCAGAAGACATCCTTCTTATCCTGAACTGTCTCCCATGAAACCTGTTGATGTCGAAATTTAAGGAGTAAAGTTTACAGTCGGCGATAAGCATCATAAAAGTTTGCATGCATTATCAGTACATAAGGTGATTATTTGGCTGTATTTTCTTAAATATTCATAATCTGCATGTGTCGGCGACTGCTTTTAATACAGTGTAACTTACAGTGAATACATTACACATTGGTAGGTTAAATAAACAGACTGATGTCGGTATAAGTTAGGCATACTTTAATAACTTACCTTCAGTAAGAGATGTACTAATCTGCTCTGGTAATGGGATCGAGGGAGAAGGGGCGGTGGTAAAAGTTATCCGTTTTATCTCTAGGTTTTCTGCTTGAGGTGGGCGTTGTATTTTTTTCTGAATGGACTGAAGAATAAGACCATACGTTCATAGACGACTGAGAGACGTCTGTGCGCATATTTGTATGTGAATGTTGCTGGTATGTGGTTATACAGTCTAGAACTAAAGATATGCATACCTTCTGCTATGAACACTGTAAATGCATTTCATACTGTGGATTTACTAGCTGTTCTGATATTGCTCATCACTTGCCAAAGCCTGTATATGCTGCAGTCCATAAATTACAAATTATGTTAGGTTCGTATATATCTAGAGTAGATAAAAGACCTATTTCATGCTTGATGTGAATACTGGTGAGCTAACAATATATCACGTAATATCACTATAACCTGTATTCATAAAAATGGACGGAAGATATCCAGTTTCCTTAGATTCAAATGAAGCTGACAAGATTTTCTCTCACTTTCTTATCCCCCTTTCCAAAACACTATAAAATTTCTAATTTCTAATTTAATACTTAAAATTAGGTTTATGCACATTACTTCCTAAGTGATTGCTGTGAACTGTTTTTAAAATGTCATTTCCAGGACATCATCTTTCTGGTTCTAGAGACGTAAACATAAACAGTAATGTAACGGTCGAATTTCTCATGAATTTCAAGGTCTGCCTGCGTAAGGACGTCTAAAAGACTCCAGAGGGATGGAGGGGGATGGAGGGGGCGTGGCCAAGGGAAGGAGGGGTATATATTGGGCTTCTCCAAGCAGCTCAAACATCTCCTTTCGTAGGATTCACGGACAACATGAAGGTTCTTGCTCTCGGTGGGTATAACGAAGCTGTGGATGCGTTTTTGTTCCCCTCTTTTTAGAGGTCATTTTAATATATATATATATATTTTTTTTTACAGAACAGTTAGTCGATGGAACTTGTTATTGTACAGGATGTTAATCTTCATTCAGTACCAGAGTATATGATTTACTTCTTCATAGAAACATACTCCTTTCACTTTATATCACTTTTATTATCACCAAATCCATATTATACGTGTGTTAATATTCATTATCTCTTCAATGTAGTCGCTGTGTTGGTGGGCGTGGCCGCCGCCCTTCCCGGCCTCCGTCTGCGTCGCGACTCGTCTCCTCTGCGCTTCGAGTTGCCCTCCAACGCCTCGCTGGTTCTGGGTGGAATCACCACCGGCTTCGACTGCGCCGACCTCCCCTACGGTTACTACGCCGACACCAGCAACGGCTGCGCCCTGTTCCACGTGTGTCTGCCCTACATCGACAACAACGTGTACATCACCCGCCACTTCTCGTTCATGTGCGGCGAGGGCACCATGTTCGACCAGGAACGTCTCGTGTGCGCTTTCCCCGAGGAAGCCCTTCCCTGCTCCGAGGCCGCTGCTTTCAGGAGGTCCAACGAGTACTTCGGCCGCGCCGACGTCAACTTCCTGGAGTAGAGCCTCGGATGAGGACACAGGGTCGCTCCTCGACATTTCATCCCAAACACCACATTTCATCTTCAATGAGCATCTTATCTATTTTTTCTATGAAAATAAAACTTTTCTAGTGTATTAAAGATCACTTTCTATTCAGCAATTTTCTTTCCATACCCAAGAACTGCGACACATCACACTAATTGCTAACGCTAAAGACCATCATATCGGAATGAAAAGTTGCGCTTGATTAAGTAATCATCAGGCTGACCCTTGGATGCAGACACAGGGCCATTCCTCGATATTTCATCCCAAACACCACATTTCTCATCAATGAGCATTGGATGTATTTTTGTATGTAAATGAGTTTTCAAGAATGTTAAGACACCATTTTCCCATTCAACTTTTTTCTTCCATACCCATTACTTTTGGCGCAGAACACTTGAAAAATATTCTGATATATACTATTGTTCACAGTCCATCAGTTAGCTACAACATAAAGCTTCAATAACACTATCTCATCGAAAGAAAAGTTGCAAATCGGATAGCATGACCATCACAGTATGATTGCAGCCATTATTTTGCCACAAGTGAGCGTTTATATGAATAAATTACATTCCTTCTACGTCAAATTCTTACCATTATCTTACCATTCATTACAAAGCCATACAAATAGAAAGTAACTTTGAAATTCTACTTTTGGTAAAGATTTAGGCCTTCTATCACTACTTTCCTAGGATTGTGGACCTGTAAATATCCACAAAGGAAATTAAGCATTAATGGATGCCTTGAGATCGCCATTATGTTTGCGAACCAAATACAACGAAAAAAAAACAAAAACAAAAACAGACTCACCACTATCACTAAAAAAAAACAGCCTGTCAATCAAAATAATATGAGAACGTTATTCACTGAGGTTTTAATAACTACAGAACAGTTTAGGACAAGTTTTGACCAAAAGCTTTAGGATTGAGCATAATACTTTACACGAATAAATTCATATTGAGAGGACGTTTTCATCTGCTTGTTGGTTCACACTATCCTTGTATGGCAGTTCCTCACATAGCGTAAATCAAACAATACAAACACAAAAAGAAGCTGATCACTAATTGTGATAAGGAAAGTTTGGTATCACTTACAGAATTTTATAAAACATTGGCGGTTGTCACTGATAACCAATAATATATATATATATATTTATACTTGTAACATGACAGTTCTATTCATGGCAACTACACAACTTTGTCCTTGCATACGTATCGAAGACGTCAACTTCCTGAGAAGAAGAGCCTCGGATGAGGACACAGGGTCACTCCTCAACCTTTCATCTCAAACACCGCTTATCATTATCAATGAGCATCTAATATATTTTCTATGAAAATGAGAAGGAAAGAAATCAAGTGAAATTTACATAATCTACCATTGCATCATTTGCCGTTGTGGCGTAGTTTTTCACGTCGTGCCGAATAATTCATAAAATATAAACCTACTTTTTCATAAGGCTGGAGATGTTTTTACTATGTGCGCATATTTTTAAATACATGTGTGTGGTATATGATTAGTGAGTGCTGACTTTCACTAAATGACATTATTAACTCATTATGAATTGTTTGATGTATCTGCACGAATACCAAGGATCTCAGTCATTTTTACTCATCTTTTAGAATGTCATAATGTGACAAATAGGTTAGGAAATATAGAGCCAGGTTTTTATTTTCGAATAGTCACGTGGTTTTAGTTGTGTTACATCGATTCATGAAGTTATTAAACAGTACAAGAAATATATAAACTTATATTACTTTTATAAAATAAACTAATGAAATATCCGACTCCATTATTTTGATGACAGCAAAGTCATGGGATTTATTTTTCACTTTACAGAATATAACTATACATAGCCTTCTAAATTCTTTTCTTGCATGCAATAACGAATTCAAAGTATTTCCTAATAGCCTTTAAATACTTGCTGCATTATTAATAGATTCTGCCGACTGACTTTAGAATGTCACTTTATGTTACCTAAAGGTTAAGGTGAACTATAGCACTCGCATTTCTTCAGCATTTCAAGGTCACTTTCCCTGCGTAAGGACGTCTAAAAGAATCCTGGGGGATGGAGGGGGCGTGGCCAAGGGTAGTAGGACTATATATTGGAGCTCTTCCAGGCAGCATAAACATCTTTCGTAGGATTCACAAACATGAAGGTTCTTGCTCTCGGTGGGTATAATTGTGCAGTTTCCATTTCCAAATCTAAGGCTATGGGAACTGTCGTCCTTTTGTTCATTCGTAGTTAAAAGTAATTCCCACACAAAAAGTGCCTTTTATGTTTGCAATGATATCGGTTAATGCTTTTGATTCAGTGCCAAAATACACTTTCACTGTGATATTCTTTCCATCATATGACAAATGATGAACAATTTGTGCTAATAAATATTTCCTTCAAGCAGTTGCTGTGCTGGTGGGCGTGGTCGCCGCCCTTCCCGGCCTCCGTCTGCGTCGCGACTCGTCTCCTCTGCGCTTCGAGCTGCCCTCCAACGCCTCACTGGTTCTGGGTGGAATCACCACCGGCTTCGACTGCGCCGACCTCCCCTACGGTTACTACGCCGACACCAGCAACGGCTGCGCCCTGTTCCACGTGTGTCTGCCCTACATCGACAACAACGTGTACATCACCCGCCACTTCTCGTTCATGTGCGGCGAGGGCACCATGTTCGACCAGGAACGTCTCGTGTGCGCTTTCCCCGAGGAAGCCCTTCCCTGCTCCGAGGCCGCCGCCTTCAGGAGGTCCAACGAGTACTTCGGCCGCTCCGAAGTCAACTTCCTGGAGTAGAGCCTCGGATGAGGACACAGGGTCGCTCCTCAACCTTTCATGCCAAACACCGCTTATCATCATCAATGAGCATCTCATCTATTTTACTATGAAAATGAGAATTTTCTAATCTATTAAAAAGCACTTTCCCATTCAGTAATTTTCTTCCATACCCCGGAATTTTGGCGTAAATGACAATATACTGTATTGGAAAAAAAATTATGAGAAACTCCAAAAGTCACAGTGGCAAATATATTTTTTTCCTACAAAAGATAAGATCTTCAGTATTTCTCAGTAACCATTTTTTTTCTCCCAGTGATTTAATCAATTTCAAAATTATGTTTCTTTATCAGTCCAGTAATTTAGTCATTAACCATATATTCTTCGGAAAAGAAAGTTAAGTTACCTATAGAATGACTATTTCTACTCTGCGACTCTCACTTTGTTAGCAGTTTCTGTACATACCTTGTTTTAGACGTCAGCACTTTGGAGAAGAGAGGCACGAATCTGGGAATCATAGTTTGATTTTCATGTATGGAAAAGCTCTTAATCAGATAATGATGAATACATTCAAATTAAAATCTGTTTATTGAAGGTCTGTTATATTAACTCTTTTTGATTCTAAGAAAAGCATGTGACGATACTACTTTTAAAGTTATGATCATTAAAAAGTAGAGAGAACAAACACGAATGATTGTTTTTAAGCATAATCAAGACAGGGAGCGTTTCCTCAGCCATATCAGTGCCATGGAGCTGCAGTGTAAATGCGGAACGCCCACACAACAAGCACACAACGGTTGCTTCTGTTTTCTGTAGCAGATGACATATTTATTCTTATCCTGACCTTTCTCCCATGAAACCTGTTGATGTTGAAATTTCAGGAGTAAAGTTTACAGTCGGCGATAAGCATCATAAAAGTTTGCATGCATTATCAGTACATAAGGGGATTATTTGGCTGTATTTTCTTAAATATTCATAATCTGCATGTGTCGGCGACTGCTTTTAATGCAGTGTAACTTACAGTGAATACATTACACATTGGTAGGTTAAATAAACAGATTGATGTCGGTATAAGTTAGGCATACATTAATAACTTCAGTAAGAGACATACTAATCTGCTCTGGTAATGGGATCGAGGGAGAATGGGCAGGGGATTTAAGTTACCCATTTTATCTCTAGGTTTTCTGCTTGAGGTGGGTGTTGTATTTTTTTCTGAATGGACTGAAGAATAAGACCATACGTTCATAGACGTCTGAGAGACGTCTGTGCGCATATTTGTATGTGAATGTTGCTGGTATGTGGTTATCCACCCACGAGCTAAAGATATGCATACCTTCTGCTATGAACACTGTAAATGCATTTCATACTGTGGATTTACTAGCTGTTCTGATATTGCTCATCACTTGCCAAAGCCTGCATATGCTGCAGTCCATAAATTACAAATTATAATGTTAGGTTCGTGTATATCTAGAGTAGATAAAAGACCTATTTCATGCTCGATGTGAATACTGGTGAGCTAACAATATATCACGTAATATCACTATAACCTGTATTCATAAAAATGGACGGAAGATATCCAGTTTCCTTAGATTCAAATGAAGCTGACAAGATTTTCTCTCACTTTCTTATCTCCCTTTCCAAAACACTATAAAATTTCTAATTTCTAATTTAATACTTAAAATTAGGTTCATGCACATTACTTCCTAAGTGATTGCTGTGAACTGTTTTTAAAATGTCATTTCCAGGACATCATCTTTCTGGTTCTAGAGACGTAAACATAAACAGAAATGTAACGGTCGAATTTCTCATGAATTTCAAGGTCTGCCTGCGTAAGGACGTCTAAAAGACTCCAGAGGGATGGAGGGGGATGGAGGGGGCGTGGCCAAGGGAAGGAGGGGTATATATTGGGCTTCTCCAAGCAGCTCAAACATCTCCTTTCGTAGGATTCACGGACAACATGAAGGTTCTTGCTCTCGGTGGGTATAACGAAGCTGTGGATGCGTTTTTGTTCCCCTCTTTTTAGAGGTCATTTTAATATATATATATTTTTGCAGAACAGTTAGTCGATGGAACTTGTTATTGTACAGGATGTTAATCTTCATTCAGTACCAGAGTATATGATTTACTTCTTCATAGAAACATACTCCGTTCACTTTATATCACTTTTATTATCACCAAATCCATATTATACGTGTGTTAATATTCATTATCTCCTCAATGTAGTCGCTGTGTTGGTGGGCGTGGCCGCCGCCCTTCCCGGCCTCCGTCTGCGTCGCGACTCGTCTCCTCTGCGCTTCGAGCTGCCCTCCAACGCCTCGCTGGTTCTGGGTGGAATCACCACCGGCTTCGACTGCGCCGACCTCCCCTACGGTTACTACGCCGACACCAGCAACGGCTGCGCCCTGTTCCACGTGTGTCTGCCCTACATCGACAACAACGTGTACATCACCCGCCACTTCTCGTTCATGTGCGGCGAGGGCACCATGTTCGACCAGGAACGTCTCGTGTGCGCTTTCCCCGAGGAAGCCCTTCCCTGCTCCGAGGCCGCTGCCTTCAGGAGGTCCAACGAGTACTTCGGCCGCTCCGAAGTCAACTTCCTGGAGTAGAGCCTCGGATGAGGACACAGGGTCGCTCCTCAACTTTTCATGCCAAACACCGCTTATCATTATCAATGAGCATCTTATCTATTTTTCTATGAAAATGAGAATTTTCTAATCTATTAAAAAAACACTTTCCCATTCAGTAATTTTCTTCCATACCCCGGAATTTTGGCGTAAATGACATTATACTGTATTGGAAAAAAAAAATTGATGAGAAACTCCAAAAGTCACAGTGAGAAATACATTTTTTTCTTACAAAAAATAAAATCTTCAGTATTTCTTAGTAACTATTTTTTTCTCTCAGTGATTTAATCAATTTCAAAATTATATTTCTTTATCAGTCCAGTAATTTAGTCATTAACCATATATTCTTCGGAAAGGAAAGTTGAGTTACCTATAGAATGGCCATTTCCACCCTACGACTCTCAGTTTGTTAGCAGTTTTTGTACATACTTTATTTTAGACATCAGTCCTTTGGAGAAGAGAGGCACGAATCTGGGAATCAGTTTGGTTTTCATGTATGGAAAAGGAGCTCTTAATCAGATAATGATGAATACATTCAAATTAGAATCTGTTTATTGAAGGTCCTTTATATTAACTCTTTTTGATTCTAAGAAAAGCATGTGACGATGCTACTTTTAAAGTTATGATCATTAAAAAGTAGAGAGAACAAACAGGAATGATAATGTTTTTAAGTATAATCAAGACAGGGAGCGTTTCCTCAGCCATATCAGTGCCATGGAGCTGCAGTGTAAATGCGGAACGCCCACACAACAAGCACACAACGGTTGCCTCTGTTTTCTGTAGCAGAAGACATCCTTCTTCTTATCCTGAACTGTCTCCCATGAAACCTGTTGATGTTGAAATTTCAGGAGTAAAGTTTACAGTCGGCGATAAGCATCATAAAAGTTTGCATGCATTATCAGTACATAAGGGGATTATTTGGCTGTATTTTCTTAAATATTTATAATCTGCATGTGTCGGCGACTGCTTTTAATGCAGTGTAACTTACAGTGAATACATTACACATTGGTAGGTTAAATAAACAGATTGATGTCGGTATAAGTTAGGCATACATTAATAACTTCAGTAAGAGACGTACTAATCTGCTCTGGTAATGGGATCGAGGGCGAAGGGGCAGGGGTAAAAGTTACCCATTTTATCTCTAGGTTTTCTGCTTGAGGTGGGCGTTGTGTTTTTTTCTGAATGGACTTAAGAATAAGACCATACGTCTGAGAGACGTCTGTGCGCATATTTGTATGTGAATGTTGCTGGTATGTGGTTATACAGTCAAGAACTAAAGATATGCATACCTTCTGTTATGAACACTGTAAATGCATTTCATACTGTGGATTTACTAGCTGTTCTGATATTGCTCATCACTTGCCAAAGCCTGCATATGCTGCAGTCCATAACTTACAAATTATGTTAGGTTCGTGTATATCTAGAGTAGATAAAAGACCTATTTCATGCTTGATGTGAATACTGGTGAGCTAACAATATATCGCGTAATATCACTATAACCTGTATGCATAAAAATAGACAGAAGATATCCAGTTTCCTTAGATTCAAACGAAGCTGACGGGATTTTCTCGCACTTTCTTATCCCCCTTCCCAAAACACAATAAAATTTCTAATTTCGAACTTAATAATTAAAATTAGGTTCATACACATTACTTCCTAAGTGATTGCTGTGAACTGCTTTTAAAATGTCATTTCCAGGGCATCATTTTTCTGGTTCTAGAGATGTAAACATAAACAGAAATATAACAGTCGATTTTCTCTTGAATTTCAAGGTCACCCTGCCTGCGTAAGGACGTCTAAAAGACTCCAGAGGGATGAAGGGGGGTGGAGGGGGCGTGGCCAAGGGAAGGAGGGGTATATATTGGGCTTCTCCAAGAAGCTCAAACATCTCCTTTCGTAGGATTCACGGACAACATGAAGGTTCTTGCTCTCGGTGGGTATAACGAAGCTGTGGATGCGTTTTTGTTCCCCTCTTTTTAGAGGTCATTTTAATATATATATATATATATATATATATATATATATATTCTTTTTTTTGCAGAACAGTTAGTCGATGGAACTTGTCATTGTACAGAATGTTAATCTTCATTCAGTACCAGAGTATATGATTTACTTCTTCATAGAAACATACTCCGTTCACTTTATATCACTTTTATTATCACCGAATCCTTATTATACGTGTGTTAATATTCATTATCTCCTCAATGTAGTCGCTGTGTTGGTGGGCGTGGCCGCCGCCCTTCCCGGCCTCCGTCTGCGTCGCGACTCGTCTCCTCTGCGCTTCGAGCTGCCCTCCAACGCCTCGCTGGTTCTGGGTGGAATCACCACCGGCTTCGACTGCGCCGACCTCCCCTACGGTTACTACGCCGACACCAGCAACGGCTGCGCCCTGTTCCACGTGTGTCTGCCCTACATCGACAACAACGTGTACATCACCCGCCACTTCTCGTTCATGTGCGGCGAGGGCACCATGTTCGACCAGGAACGCCTCGTGTGCGCTTTCCCCGAGGAAGCCCTTCCCTGCTCCGAGGCCGCCGCCTTCAGGAGGTCCAACGAGTACTTCGGCCGCGCCGAAGTCAACTTCCTGGAGTAGAGCCTCGGATGAGGACACAGGGTCGCTCCTCGACATTTCATCCAAAACACCGCTTGTCATTATCAATGAGCATCTCATCTATTTTTCTATGAAAATGAAAATTTTCTAATCTATTAAAAAAACACTTTCCCATTCAGTAATTTTCTTCCATACCCCGGAATTTTGGCGTAGATGGCATTGTACTGTATTTGGAAAAAGTTTTGATAAGAAACTCTAATAGTCACAGTGGCAAATATTTTCCAAAAAAAAAAAAAAAAAAACTTTTCTCAGTAACCATTTTTTTCCTCGGTGATTTAATAGATTTCAAAATTATGTTTCTTTATCAGTCCGGTAATTTAGAGATATTAAACATATATTCTTCGAAAAGCAAAGTTGAGTTCCTATAGAATGATCATTTCCGCCCTACGTCTCTCCGTTTGTTAGCAGTTTCTGTACATTCCTTCTTTCAGACGTCAGCACTTTGGAGAAGAGAGGTACGAATATGGGAATCATAGATGGTTTTCATGGTTGAACACATCTTCGCTCACCAAAAGGAACTTTTAATCAGATAATGTGGAATGCATTGAGGTTGGAATCTGTTTATTGATAAGCGTCGAAGGTTTGTTTTATTAACTCTTTTTAATTCTAAGAAAAACGTGCGACGATGCTACTGTTACAGTTATGATCATTAAAAAGTAGAGAGAACAAACACGAAGGATGTTTTTAAGCATAGTCAAGGGCAAAGAGCGGTCCCGCAGCCATATCGGTGCCATGGAGCCCACACAACAAGCGCTCAACGCAGTTTTCTGTAGCAGAAGACATCTTTATTCTTAATCTGAACTGTCTCCCATGAAACCTGTTGGTGTCGAATTTAAGGAGTAAAGTTTACAGTCAGCGATAAGCATCATACAAGTTTGCATGCATTATCTGTACATAAGGGGTTACTTTTCTTAAAGATTTACAATCGATCTGCTTGTTTCGGCAACCGTTTTATGATTCCTAATACCATGTATATTATTATGAATATATTAGACATTGGTAGGTTAAATGAACTGATTTACATCGGCATCAGTTAGGCACACTTTCATAATTTGCCTTCAGTAAGAGACGTACTAATCTGCTCTGGTAATGGGATCGAGGGAGAAGGGGCGGGGGTAAAATACACCCATTTTATCTCTAGCTTTTTTGGTTGAGGTGGGCGTTGTATTTTTTTCTAAATGAACTTAAGAATAAGACCATACGTTCATAGACGTCTGAGAATGTTTAAGTTCATATTTGTATGTGAATGTTGCTGGTATGTGGTTATCCACCCACGAACTAAAGATATGCATACCTTCTGCTATGAACACTGTAAACACATTTCGTACTGTGGATTTACTACCTGTTCTGATATTGCTCATCATTTTTCAAAGCCTGCATATGCTGCAGTCCATAAATTACAAATCATAATCTTAAGTTCGTGTACATCTTGAGTAGATAAAAAACCTATCTCATGCTTGATGTGAATACTGGTGGGTTAACAATGTATCACGTAATATCATTGTAACCCGTATGCATAAAAATGGACAGATGATATCCAGTTTCCTTAGATTCAAATGAAGCTGACGAGATTTTCTCTCACTTTCTTATCCCCCTTCCCAAAACACTGTCAAATTTCTAACTTCTAATGTAATACTTAAAATTAGGTTTATACATTACTTCATTGCTGTGAACTGCTTTTAAAGTGTCAATTCCAGGTTCTAAAGACGTAAAGATAAACAGAAATGTAACGGTCGAATTTCTCATGAATTTCAAGGTCTGCCTGCGTAAGGACGTCTAAAAGACTCCAGAGGGATGGAGGGGGCGTGGCCAAGGGAAGGAGGAGTATATATTGGGCTTCTCCAAGCAGCTCAAACATCTCCTTTCGTAGGATTCACGAACAACATGAAGGTTCTTGCTCTCGGTGGGTATAACGAAGCCGTGGATGCATTTCTGTTCCCCTCTTTGTAGAGGTCATTATAATATATGTATTTGCAGGACAGTCGATAGAACTTGTCATGATACATGATATTAATCTTCATTCAGTAACAGTCTTAAATGATTTACATAACCCTTTCACTTTCTATTACCTTCATTATTAGCAAATCCATATTATACGTGTGTTAATATTCATTATCTCCTCAATGCAGTCGCTGTGTTGGTGGGCGTGGCCACCGCTCTTCCCGGCCTCCGTCTGCGTCGCGACTCGTCTCCTCTGCGCTTCGAGCTGCCCTCCAACGCCTCGCTGGTTCTGGGTGGAATCACCACCGGCTTCGACTGCGCCGACCTCCCCTACGGTTACTACGCCGACACCAGCAACGGCTGCGCCCTGTTCCACGTGTGTCTGCCCTACATCGACAACAACGTGTACATCACCCGCCACTTCTCGTTCATGTGCGGCGAGGGCACCATGTTCGACCAGGAACGTCTCGTGTGCGCTTTCCCCGAGGAAGCCCTTCCCTGCTCCGAGGCCGCTGCCTTCAGGAGGTCCAACGAGTACTTCGGCCGCTCCGACGTCAACTTCCTGGAGTAGAGCCTCGGATGAGGACACAGGGTCGCTCCTCATGCTTTCATCCCAAACACCGCTTATCATTATCAATGAGCATCTAATCTATTTTTCTATGAAAATGAGAATTTTCTAATCTATTAAAAAACACTTTCCCATTCAGTAATTTTCTTCCATACCCCGGAATTTTGGCGTAAATATTATACTGTATTGGAAAAGAAGAAAAAAAAAAAGAGAAACTATTTTTTTTTTCAAAAAAAAAAAAAAAAAAAAAAAAAAATTGTACTTCTCAGTAACCTTTTTTTTTCTCAGTGATTTAATTAATTTCAAAATTATGTTTCTTTATCAGTTCAGTAATTTAGTCATTAACCATATATTCTTCGGAAAGGAAAGTTGAGTTACCTATAGAATGACTATTTCCACCCTACGACTCTCAGTTTGCTAGCAGTTTCTGTACATACTTTGTTTTAGACGTCAGCACTTTGGAGAAGAGAGGCACGAATCTGGGAATCAGTTTGATTATCATGCATGGAAAAGGAGCTCTTAATCAGATAATGATGAATACATTCAAATTAGAATCTGTTTATTGAAGGTCTGTTATATTAACTCTTTTTGATTCTAAGAAAAGCATGTGACGATGCTACTTTTAAAGTTATGATCATTGAAAAGTAGAGAGAACAAACACGAATGATAATGCTTTTAAGCATAATCAAGACAGGGAGCGTTTCCTCAGCCATATCAGTGCCATGGAGCTGCAGAGTGTAAATGCGGAACGCCCACACAACAAGCACACAACGGTTGCCTCTGTTTTCTGTAGCAGAAGACATCCTTCTTCTTATCCTGAACTGTCTCCCATGAAACCTGTTGATGTCGAAATTTAAGGAGTGAAGTTTACAGTCAGCGATAAGCATCTTAAGAGTTGCATGCATTATCAATACATAAGGGGATTATTTGGCTGTATTTCCTTAAATATTTATTATCTGCATGTGTCGGCGACTGTTTTTAATAACAGTGTAACTTACAGTGAATACATTACACATTGGTAGGTTAAATAAATAGATGTTTTTACTATGTACGCATATTTTTAAATACACGTGTATGATATATGATTAGTGACTACTGACGTTCACTAAATGACATATTAACTCATTATGAAGTGTTTGATGTATTTGCACGAATATCATGGATCTCAGTTATTTTAACTCATCTTTTAGAATGTCATAATGTGACAAATAAGTTAGGAAATATAGAGCCTGGTTTTTATTTTCTAATAGTCACGTGGTTTTAGTTGTGTTACATCGATTCATGAAGTTATTAAACAGTACAAGAAATATATAAACTTATATCACTTTTATAAAATAAACTAATGAAATATCCGACTCCATTATTTTGATGACAGCAAAGTCATGGGATTTATTTTTCACTTTACAGAATATAACTATACATAGCCTTCTAAATTCTTTTCTTGCTTACAATAATGAATTCAAAGTAGTTCCTAATAGCCTTTAAATACTTGCTGCATTATTAATAGATTCTGCCGACTGACTTTAGAATGTCACTTTATGTTACTTAAAGGTTAAGGTGAACTATAGCACTCGCATTTCTTCAGCATTTCAAGGTCACTTTCCCTGCGTAAGGACGTCTAAAAGAATCCTGAGGGATGGAGGGGGCGTGGCCAAGGGTAGTAGGACTATATATTGGAGCTCTTTCAAGCAGCATAAACATCTTTCGTAGGATTCACAAACATGAAGGTTCTTGCTCTCGGTGGGTATAATTGTGCAGTTTCCATTTCCAAATCTAAGGCTATGGGATCTGTCCTTTTGTTCATTCATAGTTAAAAGTAATTCCCACACAAAAAGTGCCTTTTATGTTGGCAATGATATCGGTTAATGCTTTTGATTCAATGCCAGAATACACTTTCACTGTGATATTCTTTCCATCATATGCCAAATGGTGCACAATTTGTGGTAATAAATATTTCCTTCAAGCAGTCGCTGTGTTGGTGGGCGTGGCCGCCGCCCTTCCCGGCCTCCGTCTGCGTCGCGACTCATCTCCTCTGCGCTTCGAGCTGCCCTCCAACGCCTCGCTGGTTCTGGGTGGAATCACCACCGGCTTCGACTGCGCCGACCTCCCCTACGGTTACTACGCCGACACCAGCAACGGCTGCGCCCTGTTCCACGTGTGTCTGCCCTACATCGACAACAACGTGTACATCACCCGCCACTTCTCGTTCATGTGCGGCGAGGGCACCATGTTCGACCAGGAACGTCTCGTGTGCGCTTTCCCCGAGGAAGCCCTTCCCTGCTCCGAGGCCGCCGCCTTCAGGAGGTCCAACGAGTACTTCGGCCGCGCCGACGTCAACTTCCTGGAGTAGAGCCTCGGATGAGGACACAGGGTCGCTCCTCAACCTTTCATGCCAAACACCGCTTATCATTATCAATGAGCATCTCATCTATTTTTCTATGAAAATGAGAATTTTCTAATCTATTAAAAAACACTTTCCCCATTCAGTAATTTTCTTCCATACCCCGGAATTTGGGCGTAAATGACATTATACTGCATTGGAAAAAAAATGATGATAAACTCCAAAAGTCACAGTGACAAATACATTTTTTTTCCTACAAAAATAAAATCTTCAATATTTCTCGGTAACTATTTTTTTTTTCTCTCAGTGATTTAATCAATTTCAAAATTATGTTTCTTTATCAGTTCAGTAATTTAGTCATTAACCATATATTCTTCGGTAAGGAAAGTTGAGTTACCTATAGAATGACCATTTCCACCCTACGACTCTCAGTTTGCTAGCAGTTTCTGTACATACTTTGTTTTAGACGTCAGCCCTTTGGAGAAGAGAGGCACGAATCTGGGAATCAGTTTGGTTTTCATGTATGGAAAGGGAGCTCTTAATCAGATAATGATGAATACATTCAAATTAGAATCTGTTTATTGAAGGTCTGTTATATTAACTCTTTGATTCTAAGAAAAGCATGTGCCGATGCTACTTTTAAAGATATGATCATTAAAAAGTAGAGAGAAAAAACAGGAATGATAATGTTTTTAAGCATAATCAAGACAGGGAGCGTTTCCGCAGCCATATCAGTGCCATGGAGCTGCAGAGTGTAAATGCGGAACGCCCACACAACAAACACACAACGGTTGCCTCTGTTTTCTGTAGCAGAAGACATTCTTCTTCTCCTGAACTGTCTCCCATGAAACCTGTTGATGTTGAAATTTAAGGAGTAAAGTTTACAGTCGGCGATAAGCATCATAAAAGTTTGCATGCATTATCAGTACATAAGGGGATTATTTGGCTGTATTTTCTTAGATATTTATAATCTGCATGTGTCGGCGACTGTTCTTAATACAGTGTAATTTATGATGAATATATTACACATTGGTAGGTTACATGAACAAATTTACGTCGGCATCAGTTAGGTACACTTTCATAATTTGCCTTCAATAAGAGACGAACTAATCTGCTCTGGTAATGGGATCGAGGGCGAAGGGGCAGGGGATAAAAGTTACCCATTTTATCTCTAGGTTTTCTGCTTGAGGTGGGCGTTGTGTTTTTTTCTGAATGGACTGAAGAATAAGACCATACGTTCATAGACGTCTGAGAGACGTCTGTGCGCATATTTGTATGTGAATGTTGCTGGTATGTGGTTATACAGTCAAGATCTAAAGATATGCATACCTTCTGCTATGAACACTGTAAAAGCATTTCATACTGTTCTGATATTGCTCATCACTGTTTCCCTCTTTGTATATTTTTATAATATATATATATATATATATATATATATATATATATATATAATATTTGCAGTAGTCAATGGAACTTGACATGATGCATGATATTAATCTTCATTCAGTACTAGTATGCATGCATGCGCCCTATTCCACGTGTGTCTGCCCTACATCGACAACAACGTGTACATCACCCGCCACTTCTCGTTCATGTGCGGCGAGGGCACCATGTTCGACCAGGAACGTCTCGTGTGCGCTTTCCCCGAGGAAGCCCTTCCCTGCTCCGAGGCCGCTGCCTTCAGGAGGTCCAACGAGTACTTCGGCCGCGCCGACGTCAACTTCCTGGAGTAGAGCCTCGGATGAGGACACAAGGTCGCTCCTCGACATTTCATCCCAAACACCACAAAGCATTATCATCACAAAGCATTGGACATCTAAACTATTTTTAACGAAGAATGAAACTCAACAATGTATTAAAAAGAACATTTTCCCATCCAGTAATTTCTTTCCGCACCCAAGCCTAAAGGGCAATATATATAGTGTACAGAAATCATGTGATTTTTCGTATTTATGATACCAGTTGGATTTTACCTTAATTGTAAATTGTAGCATTTTTTCGAGAGAAAGCAAGATGAAGATCCCAATATATGTAGAATCAAAAAGCTCTACAAACTAACACGCGCCCGCTGACATCCCGATGACTACTAATCCTGCCAGAACAAACCAAAGGCATATGAATTAGTCCGGGAAAGAGCTTTGATTACATTGCACTGACATCGCAAGAATGGCCCTAGTCCGTCAAAGACGACAGTTAACCCTTATCTTAAACGTCAAGTAAAGTAAAACAATGGAGAAAAGAAGTGAAGATATCGAAGGGGGTTGGGGGAGAAGGTAAAGTGTTGAAATTTAGGGAAGTTGGAGGTTAAAAGTAGGGGGCGAAAAAACCCTTGCATAGGTATAATATTCATAGTTTCGCGGGAGAGGGGAAAGCAGTTATTTATGATTCAATAAAGCTGACAAACAATATAAGAACATTAATTATATTTATATTAAAGTAACACCTCTTTTTTGACGTCAATTTGCTATACACACGATCGAATAGTACGCAGTATGTCGTATTGGGAACACTTAATGGGCTCTTGTGATTTTGTATTTTAGGAGAGGAATGACCTAGCGTCGCCTTCACTCTCGTTTTTCACACTCGCTGACCAGCCAAAAGACACTCACGAAAAAAGAAAAAAGAAGACATCATAAAAGAAAAGGGAAAAACAAAGGATGAAGAAAGTTTTCGTATATGCTTCCATAATTAAAGATGACTTTCAACACAATAGGAAATATCCTTACACATAGTTTATGGACGTAGGCGAAGCTGTATTCGAATTAGTCCTTTTCCATACCGAGATATTAATGCTCATTAAGAATGGAATAAGATGAAATCTCAGAGAACGACATTATGTTTTTTTAAACCATCACAAAACTTAGACATTTAGCGATTCTAATTTATTATGTAAAGATTGTGACTTTATTAACAAAGATATGCAAATTCTTAAAATGCATTATAATAGCGTGCTCAGTGGCTCAGTGGGTCACGGCACTCGAGCACGGCTCAAGCGTTGGCAAGATGAAGCCTCTCTGGTGATTAGCACCTCTTCTGTTCGTAACATACAGGAATAAGAGGCAACCTTTAGAACTTGTAGGTCGAAGCTACGCATCATTCTGCCCACCTTGTTTATCCATATTTATACCTAAAACTATAATCGCATTGATAATCATAAACAGGGTAAGATGTGCAGATTAGGGTTATTGTCAACACAGAATAGTAACATTATCTAAGTCCAAAATCATAGGTATGTGAGAAAAAATCTATATGGGATAAGGGGCTTTAATATTTCATAAAATTCTTATTTTCATAGAAAAATAGATGAGATGCTCATTGATAATGATAAGCGGTATTTAGGATGAAAGGCTGAGGAGCGACCTTGTGTCCTCATCCGAGGCTCTACTCCAGGAAGTTGACGTCGGCGCGGCCGAAGTACTCGTTGGACCTCCTGAAGGCGGCGGCCTCGGAGCAGGGAAGGGCTTCCTCGGGGAAAGCGCACACGAGACGTTCCTGGTCGAACATGGTGCCCTCGCCGCACATGAACGAGAAGTGGCGGGTGATGTACACAGTTGTTGTCGATGTAGGGCAGACACACGTGGAACAGGGCGCAGCCGTTGCTGGTGTCGGCGTAGTAACCGTAGGGGAGGTCGGCGCAGTCGAAGCCGGTGGTGATTCCACCCAGAACCAGCGAGGCGTTGGAGGGCAGCTCGAAGCGCAGAGGAGACGAGTCGCGACGCAGACGGAGGCCGGGAAGGGCGGCGGCCACGCCCACCAACACAGCGACTGCTTGAAGGAAATATTTATTAGCACAAATTATGCACCATTTGGCATATGATGGAAAGAATATCACTGTAAAGGTGTATCCTGGTACTGAACCAAAAACATTAACCGATATTAATGCAAACATAAAAGGTAGAAGAATGAGGTACTTTTTGTGTGGGAATTACTTTTAACTACGAATGAACAAAAGGACGACAGTTCCCATAGCCTTAGATTTGGAAATGGAAACTGCACAATTATACCCACCGAGAGCAAGAACCTTCATGCTTGTGAATCCTACGAAAGATGTTTATGCTGCCTGGAAAAGCTCCAATATATAGTCCTACTGCCCTTGGCCACGCCCCCTCTATCCCTCAGGATTCTTTTAGACGTCCTTACGCAGGTAAAGTGACCTTGAAATGCTGAAGAAATGCGAGTGCTATAGTTCACCTTAACCTTTAGGTAACATAAAGTGACATTCTAAAGTCAGTCGGCAGAATCTATTAATAATGCAACAAGTATTTAAAGGGTATTAGGAACTATTTTGAATTCCTTATTGTATGCAAAAAAAGAATTTAGAAGGCTATGTATAGTTATATTCTCTAATGTGAAAAAATAAATCCCATGACTTTGCTGTCATCAAAATAATGGAGTCGGGTATTTCATTAGTTTACTTTATAAAAGTAATATAAGTTTATATATTTCTTGTACTGTTTAATAACTTCATGAATCGATGTAACACAACTAAAACCACGTGACTATTCGGAAATAAAAACCAGGCTCTATATTTCCTAACCTATTTGTCACATTATGACATTCTAAAAGATGAGTTAAAATAACTGAGATCCATGATATTCGTGCAGATACATCAAACAATTCATAATGAGTTAATATGTCATTTAGTGAAAGTCAGTAGTCACTAATCATATACCATACACGTGTATTTAAAAATATGCGTACATAGTAAAAACATCTATTTATTTAACCTACCAATGTGCTATGTATTCACTGTAAGTTACACTGTTATTAAAAATAGTCGCCGACACATGCAGATAATAAATATTTAAGGAAATACAGCCAAATAATCCCCTTATGTATTGATAATGCATGCAACTCTTAAGATGCTTATCGCTGACTGTAAACTTCACTCCTTAAATTTCGACATCAACAGGTTTCATGGGAGACAGTTCAGGATAAGAAGAAGGATGTCTTCTGCTACAGAAAACAGAGGCAACCGTTGTGTGCTTGTTGTGTGGGCGTTCCGCATT